CAATAGCCTTTTGTTTGGGGTTGGGCTGCCCCCTCCCACAGCCGGCTCAGTGCCGAGGGGTGTGCAGTGCCCTGTGGCCCCCCACTGCCGCCTGCGCCCCGCTTAGCAGGGCAGTGGGCGGGGGGAGCCCTGCTGTCACCCCAAAAAGAGCCCCCTCACAGGTGCCAGGCTCTGCTGCCAGCCCTCCTCCAGGGCATGGGGCTGGTAGGGTTCCTCGCCATCCTTTTGTGGGGCTGGGGCACAGGTGAACGGCGCAGGGGCCTGGGGCATCCAAGCTGGGCTCAGGCCGGAGGAGGTGGCAGGGTCTGCTGTGTCCTCCCTGCAGCCCTACAACTGCAAGATGCGTGAAGACGTAGAGGAGCAGGCTCACCATTTCCAAGAAGGGGAAAAGCAGCCTCCCCGGCGTGGTGCTGGGGACAGAAGGCAGATGCTAGACTCCATGCACCCTTTCAGTGCTGCCCCCAACCCTGTGTTCTCTCCTCCCAGGGGTCAGCGGCTGTGCTTCTTCTCCCCTCTCCTGCGGAGCTGGCGCTTGTGTGCTCACCCCAGAGGGGTACAGCTGCTTGTGCCACCCCGGCTACACGTTGGACCCCAGCCGCCTCCGCTGCATCGGTAGGTTGGCACCTTCTCTGCCTGCTGCGTCTCGATGGACCGTTTGGTCCTTCAGGCTCCTGGGGGAAGGTTTTCTGGCAGCTCTGCTGAGCCCCTACGCACAGGGCTGGCAGGGGGCTGGCAGGCAGCTGCAGGTGGTGACTGCCTGTCTTTCTTCCTTGCCCCTTGCCTGGGCACAGATGAAGATGAGTGCCTGAAAGATCCTTGTGCTGGAAAAGGTCGCTGCATCAACAGCGTGGGCTCCTATTTGTGCCTCTGCTACTCTGGGTACATGCTGGCTCTCTCGGAGGGCAAGCAGAGCTGTGAGGGTAAGTGGTGCCTGCCTGGCACAGGGCTGCCACCTCCCCAGGGTCTTCCCAGTCTCCCACCCTCACGCCGTCTCATGCACGTACACACACGCACACAGTGCACATGCACACCTGCCCACATGTCCTCCCCGCAAGCCTGCCCACGGACAGCCTGATCCATGGGGATCATCCTCTTCTGCTTGCTCAGGGACAGGACCTTGCCCATGATGATCTGGGCAGGAGCCTGTGATGCCAGCCCTGATCACTGCTTCATGGCAAGGGGGGTGCTAGGACAGATGGGGGATGGAGGAGAGCCCCAGCACGGGTGCCCTGGGCAGAGCCTGCTGCAGGTGAGGCAGCTCCTCTCCTGCACCCAGCCTTCCCCACGCTGGAGGGGGAAGACTTTAGGACTGTCTCCCTGTCTGTTGCCAGATCGCGACGAATGTGAGCAGCCCTCTACCTGCAGAGGACAGCGATGCATCAACACCCCCGGCTCCTACCGCTGCGAGTGCAAGAAGGGCTTTGCCATGGGCCCCAGAGGACAGTGTGAAGGTGAAGCTTGCTGCGCCCTGTTCCCATGCCCCTCCAACCCACCCTGTGCAGGGCTGAACACCTTCTTTCCTCACCACTACCTGTCTCCTCCTGGAAGGGAAGAAGGACCCCCCCATGTTTGTCTGCCCTGTGCCCCCCCTGAGGGCTGCCTGTCCTCTCCTCTGCCTGCAGGAGGAACAGGTTTTCCTGGGCTGGGAGAGGGCAGTTCTCCTGAGATACTCTCCCACCTCCCCAGGGAGATCCCCCCATGATCAGCCTGTATCGGCTTCCCATTCTGGGAGGAGATGCCCATGCGTTTTCGTGCTAGTTTGACTCTGTCACCGGATCCTCGTGCTGGCAAGTGGGCTGCAGGGAGAGCAGGCTGCAGAGACTCAGGCCACCTGTCCCCACAGCATCCCACTCACGTGGCACAGCCTGGGCCCTTGCGAGCATTCAACCTTGTGAACATGCGATGTGCCTGATCAAAGATCCCCCTTTCTCAGTGGCTTGTCTCCAACACTGGGAGACTATTTTAGGAGGCGGTACGGGAAGCAGGGCACGCACAGAATGCCGCTCCCCCTGCACGGCCTCCAGAAAGCACTTGCCTTAAGGACTTCCTGAGCTGGAGGCTGCATCCTAATCATAGTTATGAAAGTCCCTGATGAAACAGCCCTGCACAGATGTTCTCTGATCCCTTTCTCTGCCCATGCACATTTCTGGCCTTGGCAACATCCTGCGGCAGCGGGTTTCGCTGCTGGATTATGTGAGCCCTCAGGTGTGGGTGTAGGCTCCTGAGTGGTAAGTGGGACTATAAGGAGTATTTCCCAAGCCCTGGCAAACTTGTCTCACCTCCTTTTGGGCATTGCTGTCCCCTGGAGGGGGGACTCTGAGGATCCAGCTGGAGGGGACATCCTGGAGAAAGTTGCAGTGTTCACCTTTGGGAGCCTGAAAGGAATGTGTTTCTTGGCAGATATCAACGAGTGCGTGGATCCCAGCCCTTGCCCCCATGGGAAGTGTGTCAATACGCTAGGCTCCTACAAGTGTGTCAGCTGTGGGGATGGCTACCGGCCCAGGAACGGGAGATGTGTTGGTGAGGAATGTGGGCTGTCTCTGGGCGGCACCCTCGGCCCCTGCAGCAGTGCTCCCTGCAACCTCAAAAGGAGCAGCGGCACGGGCAGCATGCTCCTCCCGCGGGCAGCCAGCCTGCGTGGCCAGGGTACAGTGCCCTTGCAATTTTGGGTGGCAGGGATGACCCTGAGCACCCTTCCATTCCACACTGCTCTCTGCTGTGTCACACAGATGTGGACGAGTGTCTTGCGGAGGGGACCTGTGCTCACGGGCGCTGTGTCAATCTGGATGGCTCCTTCCGCTGTTCCTGCTACCGGGGCTATGAGGTGGCACCTGATGGGAAGAGCTGCCAAGGTACAGGGGAGCTGTGAGTCCAGACCCTCTGAAGTGTCACACACCCAGTCCCGAGGTTTCTCTGGGCTCTTCCTGAGCACTTGGCTCTGCCCGAGTCCTGGCCACCATCTTGGCTGGTTCCCTCAACACATCTGCCCCTGGTCATGGTTCCTCCGCACCCTTCTCACTCATCCCACTCTCCTTTGTGTGCTTATGCAGACATCGATGAGTGCACTGCCCAGGCTTCCTGTCCCTCCGGACTCTGCCTCAACACCGAGGGCTCCTACTCCTGCATGGCTTGTGACGCTGGCTACGCTGTGTCCAGAGATAGCAGCACATGTGAAGGTATCCCTTTCCCAGGGACAGAAGAGCAGGCGTTGGAGGGAATGAGGGAAGACACATTGCAATAGCTGTGTTATTGGTAGGGGCTGGGGACTTACCTAGCCTGAAGATCCTTCTCCAGCTCCTTAGCTCTCTGATCAGCAGATAGCAGAGGTGGGGGGGCTGCAAGCAGATGTCACCTAGAGCAGCAGGAAGGTGATCTTCCTCACCCAGGAAAGGGATGGGGGGCAAGGACTCATTGATTAGACTCCTGGACTAATGGTGACCTGGGGGATGCTGACAAAGGCCAGAGGAGTACAGGAGGCCTGGAAACATGGACAGAGAGGAGTTGTGTGTGGTTCAGTTCAGAACCGTGTGCCTGGAAGCGTGTGCCCCAAATGTAGGTCCTCAACAGAGGGAGAAACCTTGGGTCCACAGCCAGTGGAGACTGTGGGCACTCAGGGTTCATCTTTTTTCCCCAGCCCCTAATGTAACTTGGACGTGTTTAAAAAGGAAAGAGTTCAAGGGCTCTGCTGTGCCAGGTATGCATGGCAGAGAGTTAACACTGGCATGGATCTGTGTTGGTTGCTTTGCTCAGACATGAGGAGGGCCTGTCCCAGCCTTAGAGCCTGACCGCCCCAGCGCAGGCAGGAAAACTCCCTCCCGGTGGCTGTCCCCAGGGGATGTCCTGGGCTTGAGATGGCTTGATGCAAATTCCCTGTTTGGGGCAAGGGAAGGGAGGGAGCAGAGCTGGCAAAGGTATTTGTTTAAAGATTGGCCATGTGCTGCAAATTTCTTTCTGGAGCACTGCAGAGCTCTGCAGCCTGCACATAGCTGGCAAACAGAAGATCTTGCCTTTGATGTGACTCTCGGAAGACCCCCCTGCATGGGGGCCTCCAATGGGGGAGGAGAGGGAGGCTTTCCTCCCTCTCTTCTCCTCTGTTTTGGTGTCTGAAAAAGCCATCGTGAAATGAGCTTATTTTCCATCTGATTTTTGGGTGCAATGGAAGAACCATGGTTTGATCCCTTCGGTCTGCCCTCCCCCTTTCCCAAGACTCCATGTGAGCCCCTTCTTGGCCACCTTGCCCTAGCCATGTCACTAGGGCACCTTATCAGTGTTCGATACTGTTTGGGTCACACTGACCCAATGGCAGGATGGTATGTTCTTCCCTGCCCTGGCTGGTGGCCTTGTCTGTGGATCTGGGTTTCATATCTGAAAAATGATAAGGGTTTTGTGATAAATAAACTAGGTTATGGTTCATCTCCAGAAGGATTCAAGAATATTGCTACTTGTAACCTTTTGAGACTGAACAGCTGGGAATCCTGCCCCAAGGCAATAGAGGGCAATGCTCAATGCTTGTCTATGCCTGTGGTGTGCTCAGTGCCCTGTGAAGGGGAAGAGAAGGTCCCTGCCTTGCCCTCAGGAGCTGCCAGTCTCAGGGCTTTAACTCTTGGCAGGGGAGGAGAGTACAGCAGGACCTTCTCCACCAGTGTGTCTTCTGCTGCCTGCACACCAGCCCATCATTCTGATTAGCAGCGTCCTCCAATGCTTCCCCCTACCTCATGGGCCAGGCAACGGCAGTCTGCTGGCATGTTGCAGCCCTCTGTTAGAGGGAAGGCACCCCTCCCTCCTGTGCTGGGAGCAAAACCCTCAGAGTGCCAGCAAGGCCTGGGGGAGTTGGGTGGGAGAGGGTTTGTGAGGAGCTCTGCAGCTGGGTAAGAGCTGATGTAGGCCCCTGGCCAGCTTTGCCAAGAGAAGGACATTGTAGGCAAGCCTGGCAGGTAGGAAAGCAGAGCTGCAGAAGGTATGGCCGGTGCTGGGTTACTTCCTGATGTTTGCTCTTGTGCCGTTGGCTGAAGAGAGCATTTGTCTCTGGAGATCATCTTGTCCATCCCCCCTGCTCAAGCAGGGCCACCTAGAGCTGGTTGCCCAGGACCATGTCCAGATGGCTTTTGAATATCTCCAGGGAGGGAGACTCCACAACCTCTTTGGGCAATCTGCGCCAGTGCTCAGTAACCCTCACAGTAAAAAAGTGTTTCTTGATGTTCAGATGGGACCTCCTGTGTTTCAGTTCGTGCCCATTGCCTCTGGTCCTGTCACTGGGCACCACTGACTTGGTGCTGTGATCCAGTTTATCCTGGTCCCTATGAGGGAGGGGAGTGAAGGGTCTGGGCTGACTCCTCGCACCCCAGTAACAGGGAGTGCCTGCCCTCATCTCACTGTGTCGGGATGGTCTGGGAGGGCAGCTCAAACCCACCTTGCAGGCCAACAGCTGGGTGATGGCTTCTCTGGATGGGGATCATCTCCAGTGGTGGCAAGAGCTGGGGCCTCACTCTGTGCTGTGCCCTTCTGCTTGGCAGATATGGATGAGTGTGAGGACCCTGCTGTTCAGTGCCTGGGGGGAGAGTGCAGGAACACCCTGGGCTCCTACGAGTGCCACTGCCGGGCTGGCTTTGAGCTCATCAACGGCACTGTGTGTGAAGGTACGAACCCCATCCCTGCAGCCCTCTGCGTCCAGGCCATACAGCCTCCCTATAGATCCTCCTTGTTTCTCAGAAGGGACCATGCCAGTGGCAAGGCAGATGGTGCCACCATGCATGGCACATCCATAAGGTTGTAGCCACATGCAGGATCACCATGGACAGGGAAGATCTCTGTCTCTATGACAAGAAAACCAGGGGCCAGGAGCCCTGCAAGGGCTGCCTGTGAGAGACCGGGGAGAGGGAATCCATGTGGCTTAGGTGAAGGATGTCCCCCAGAGCTGGGTGTATGGCCCTGACTCTGCTCCCTCTGCAGATGTGAACGAGTGCCTGAACAGCGAGATCTGCAGCCCCAATGGTGAGTGTCTCAACAGTCACGGATCCTACTTCTGCATTTGTGCTCCTGGCTTCTCAAACACGGCTGGCGGAGTCAGCTGCCAAGGTGAGCTGGAGGATGGCAGGGATGTACCTTGGGTCCTGCCCTTTGCTCCCTCCCCTGCTGTGAGATCCAGGTTGATGATTTTGGCCTGATTTTGCAGATGTGGATGAATGCGCAGACAAGTCCCGGTGCTCGCAAGGCCAGTGCCTGAACACAGAAGGCTCCTACAGGTGTCTGTGCGAAAATGGGTTCAAACACTCCCAGGAGATTGATGACTGCGTGGGTGAGAGCTCATCACTGGGGAGATCAGCCCCCTGGGATTCGGGGGGATGGATGCAGCCAGTGCAGGGGGGAGGGCAGTTCTGCTCCCAGCACCCAAAGTTGCTGGTGACTTGTAAGGAGGACTAGCAATGGCTCAGGGCCTCTGGCCAACTGAACTTGACCAAGGTGCTGCAGTGAGCAAGCAGGGTCCCCATCTGACCATCCTCATCTCCTTGCCCTCCTCCCTGCAGACGTGGATGAGTGTAAAGAGTATGGGGATGCCATCTGTGGCACGTGGCGGTGCCAGAACAGCCTGGGCTCCTACCGCTGTATCATGGGCTGCCAGCCTGGCTTCCACTGGACCCCCTTGGGTGACTGCATTGGTGAGTACAACCCCGGGTGTCCCTGTCCTTCCTCCTGGCAGGGACAGGGTGGCTGTGGGACATCTCTGCAAGTGGCACGGGGGAGAAGAAGGAGAATGAGGAGAAGGAGGAAGCGTGTGGCTGGTGGAGAGGCAGATAATGCTGAGAGTTTGTTTTCTTGGCTGAGCTGCCTGCTTGTGTCTAGACTTCTCTCTTCCTGGCATCTGGAACAGACACCGCATTGTGCTGCTTTCCGCTGGGGGAGAGTCCTGGGCAGGTTACAGCCATTCCAGGCTTGGGGCTGGACCACAGCTCCCTGTAAGCTGTGCTTCCTGGGGCTGCTGCCTGTGCCAGTCACCTGCCTGGCAGGGCTGGGTGAGGGGAAAGGCTGCTATGTGCTAGGTTGGGGAGTCTGGGTTTGGAGTTCAGGCTCCAGCAAAGAGGAAAGAGCAAAGGAGTTTCTGCAGTTTTTGAGGCTCCCCCCAGCTCAGGGAAGGCTGCAGCAAGGAGGAGCTGCTGCCAGCTGCTGGGCTGAGGGCTGCGCCAGGACTGACTTAGGATGTGGAGCTGCTCCCAGCTTTGGGAGTAGTGGGCTGTGGGCACGTGGCTGCTCTGCCTGCTCCAGGGAAATCTGCCCTGTGCAGTGGTAGGAGGGGAGTGGGATGCAGCCAGCAGGTCTGTAAACCTGCCCTCCATAGGCAGAGGACACAGTTGTGACTGTCCAACCCCACCAGGCTGGGGCAAGGCAGAGATACTTCCCTGGCACTGTAGCAGTTGAAGAAGGAACAGATCAAGAAGAATGGGGCAGGAGGGCATCATCCTAGATCTGTCTGCACTTGCCCCATACACTTCAGCTGTACCCTTGTATCTCCTGCTGACGTGAGCCTGTAGGGTCTGTGTCCCTTTACACCTCTGCAAGGACCTGCGCTACCCTCAGTTGGCCCTGCCAGCCACTTCCCATGCTTCCTATCCATTTCCCATTCCCACCCTGCTCCTGTCGCTCTATCCATGTGGCCTCTCTGCAGCTCTGGATGTTGCAGGCAGCTTCTCTTAACACAATCTTAGCAGGGGAGTGAGTGGGGCAGCAAGACCTAGTCCCTCACATCAAGGGAATGCCTGCCTCATCCCCAGGTCTTGGGGTCAGAGCAGAAGGGCCTGGGTGGGGGGTGGTCCATTGGGAGAGGTGGGGTCTGGGGCAATTCCTGCTCTCTGCTCTGCTGCAGACATAGATGAGTGCGCCAACGAGACACTGTGCGGGAGCCACGGCTTCTGCGAGAACTCAGATGGTTCCTTCCGCTGCCTCTGTGACCGTGGCTATGAGAGCTCGCCTTCTGGGCACTACTGCGTCGGTGAGTCTCCCACGATCGCTCTGCCAGTCAGTGAGGGAGAGCCATTGGCAGATGCCAGCCTAGTGTCCCCACTATGTGACGGCTCCTGGGGTATGGATGGCGACTGCACCCGCTCATGGAGAATCCCAGAAATGGACAGGGCAGCTCATGGAGGCAAAACCCCTCCCCTTAGCACAGCAGATCCTTGGGACTGCAAAGGAGCTGGGCTCTATGAAAAAGCGAGCGGCTCCCAGTGAACATGGAGCCCTTCTCTGTGCAGGTGGAAAGGAGGTGCTTGGGGGCTGGAGGCACTGAAGGTATTAGAGAGGTACTTCAATGGGTGCCCAGAGAGAACAAGCAGGGTGTAATATAAGGAAAAATGTTTTCACCATGAAGACAGGCAGGCAGTGGAACAGATGCCCAAGATGGCTGTGCAGTCACCATCCTTGGAGGTTTTAAAGACCTAACAAGACAATGCCCTGAGCATCCTGGTGGGATCCCATAACTGACCCTGCTTTGAGCAGGGGTTGGACTAGAGACCTCCAGCAGTCCCTTCAAACCTGGATGATCCCGTGATCCAGTGACTCACTGCAAGCTGGAGTTCAGGCTCCTTGAATCTACTGAGAGCAGGGCAGGAAGCTCTTGCCAGACTTGTGTTGAGCCATGGTGTGAACAGAGCTCTCAGCTTGTCCGTAGCAGCTTCCATCTCCCTGCTGAAGGGTGACCCCATGCTGCAGACCATGCACAGGCTGCCCGTGCAGAGGCAGGGCTCCAGCTGCCACCGCTGCCCCTTGCTTTGCAGATGTGAATGAGTGTGAGCTGATGGTCGCCGTGTGCGGGACTGCGCTCTGTGAGAATGTGGAGGGATCCTTCCTCTGCCTCTGCCCCAGCGACCACGAGGAGTACGACACAGAGGCAGGGCAGTGCCAGCCCCGAGCAGCCATGGGTGAGTAGGCAGCTATGACAGAAGCATGGGTGGCAGCTAGAGCAGGAGCGTGGTAGCCCTGGCTGGGGTGAGATGAAGCTGAGGGGCTGCCAGGGATGTACAAGCCCACGCAGGCATGGGCAAGCTTTCATTTGGGGAGAGCTGAGGAGCCTGAAAGTGGGGACCTGGGAAGGCCATGCTGCTGGTGATGGATGTGCTCTGGGACCTCCTAGGTGTGGGATGCCGTGTTGGGGTGCCAAGGACCCCATCCCGTCCCTGCTCTGCTGTCTTCTAGAGGGCCCTGAGACACACGCAGCCCACCTCTCTGACAGTGCAGAGCGCAAGCAGTGCTACTATCACATCAGCGACGTTCGCCTGTGTGACAGCGTCCTGGCCAAGAATATCACCAAGGAGGAGTGCTGTTGTACTGTGGGGGCAGCCTGGGGTGACAACTGTGAGACCTACCCCTGCCCCATCCCGGGCACAGGTAGGACTGTGGCCCCACCACACCAGGCAAGGCCAGTGCTCTGTCTGCCAGCTCCACCTTGGTTGCACTAACGAGCCGTTTCTTTTCTTCCCATCTCCCCTTGGCATCTGCCTCCTGGCCAGTGGAATACCGAGAGATCTGCCCCCTTGGGAAGGGCTATGTTCCCCAGGAAGATCCGCTCTCAGGAAAAGTCTCTTTCACAGGTACTACCACTGATTTCTCTCATTTCTTCCAAGGAAGAGAGAGGGTGCTGTGCAAAGCCCTGCATGGAGATGCATCCACAGGAATATCTTCCCCAGGGCTGTGGTGGAGGATGCTAACATCCTGCTGCTGCTTTCCTCTATCCAGAGAAATCCCAGATTGCCAGTATCACCGAGCTGGAAGTGCCCCTTCCTCCAGTCCTGCCTCACTGCTGGCAGTGACTCTTCTCAGTGCAAATCCCCCATGCCCATTTCGAACCAGGAGTGGGGTCCAGTATGACACAACCCTTCCAGTTATTGATAGATCTCCTGGTGGCCAACTGGGTCAGTCTTTGGCACTTCACCTTCAGGGGGTTGTGTTCTTGACCTTCCAGAAACACACATGAATTTCCTATTTGTGAAAGTATCCTGTTCCCCATCATCCCTCTTCCTGCTCTGCCTGTGGGTGCTCCCAGGCATGTGGCTGGTGGGAGAGGTGGGGGGCTCACTCAGGGACCTGACAGTAATCCAGGCCAAGGTACCATGCCGGCTTTCTGCGGGCACAGCACCCAGCCCGCCCTGCTTCTACGGCTCTACTCCCTGAGACGCTCTCTCCCTCCCTCCATCCCTCTCAGACATGGACGAGTGTGAGATATTTGGCAATGAGTTCTGCCGCAACGGACAGTGTTTGAACACAGTGCCAGGCTACAAGTGCTTCTGCCGTACAGGCTACTTCTATGACTCCAGCAGGCTTGAGTGTGTTGGTAAGATGGCCTCAAAGCGCAGCGGGGGCCCCCACCGTGTGCAGAGGGACACCTGTGCTGCTGCACCCAGAGTTGTCCCTGCTGCCCGTGCTACAGGGCCAGCTCTGGGTGACCGGCTTTCTGGGACCCTCCCGGGGAATGAAAGAGGAGGTGGCAGGGAAGGGGTCACATTGCCAGTGTCTGCCAGCCTGAAACATTGCTCTGTCCTTGTGTGTGGGCAGACCAGGACGAGTGTCAGAACGAAGTGTACTGCATCAATGGCGAGTGTCTGAACACAGACGGCTCCTACCACTGCTTCTGCAGCCTCCCTCTCGTGTTGGATGCCACCGGCAACCGGTGTGTGAACCTCTCCATCAGGGCAGGTGAGCCCGAGCCCCTGCCGCAGCACACCTTCGCCCCACACATCTCACCCCACAGCTGGCTCTCCCAGGAGGGAGCAGCGGGTGGGGGCTCGATGCCATGCTGAGGGGTGCCAGTGCCAGCACAGCGTGCAGCCAGGGCAGGGGGGCAGGAGCTGGGGCACATGGTTATCCCTCTTGGGACAATGGGGGATGGCACTGTTCTGGATGATTTTTATGGCATCCTTTGCTCGTGGCACTCACAGATGCCTTGGAGGAGTATGAAATCCACCTGGATGTCTGCTGGCAGACTGTCGCCGACTACATCTGCCAAGACCTGCTGCACGGCGAGCAGACCACGTACACTGAGTGTTGCTGCCGGCTCGGCGAAGCCTGGGGCCAGAACTGCGCGCTCTGTCCTGACAGGTCCTCCGGTGAGCAGGGTGGCTTGGGCAAGCATCCCCTGGCAGAGGTGGGGATGGGCTGGGCTGCTGCTGGTCGACTGGGCAGGGTTGGCTGCGTACGGCTGCAGAGAGGGCTCCTCTTGTCTGCATGGCCAAAGCCAGCCCAAGGAGTGGGTCAACCCCCCACTTCTCCAGGACTGAGCTGCACCAGTGGGTAGGATGTACCTGAAACTGGTTTGCAATGAGTCAGACATGTCTGAGGGGAGTGCTCTGTGCATCTGCTGCTCCTGGTTAGCTTAGGAGAGGTGAGGCAGTGGCACCCCGGGATGGGAGCACACTGGGAACTGGGGTTCTCACTGCTCAAGGACTTGCTGGCCCTGGACAGGAGCTGGTCTTCTTGAAGACGGGGTGCCGTCAGCAAACTACAGAGCTGCAGTTTTGGAGGCCATTGAATGCAGGCCTGCCTCAGCTGGCCTGGTGTGGACGCACCCTCTCTGGCCATAGCAGACCTACCTTTCTTGAGCCAGGCTGCACTGACCCTTCCTTTTCTCTCACCACTTCAGCTGATTTTGCTTTCCTGTGTAACGGGGCCAGCGAAGACAGTGAGAGAGGGGCTGAGCTCCGAGAAAGACCTAGGTATGAGTACGGACCGGGCTTGGAAGACCCCCACTATGGCCTTCCCAGCCCAGATATGGGCCCCTACTACAACTATCTGGAGTCTGAGTATGGAAACCCCGATGCTGGTTTCCCTCGGAGGGAACCCAACAGCGAGTTTCGTGGCAGCCCTCTCCACCATGGCCCAGGAAAAAAGCCTGCCTGCCTAGCCAAACTGGTGAGTACGGGGAGACACAGAGAGGTGCCTTCCCACCCAGCCTGTGTCCATGGGGACTGCCTGGCAGCTCCCACCCCAGCTGGGATGCTCCAGGCTTGGAGCAAGCTCTGCTCCTGGCTGCTCTGAGTTGGTCCTGGCCCCACCAGCACCATCTCGCCACGTGCCCGACGTCCCCTCCGTGGCCGGGCAGAGGGTCACCCCGCTCTGACACCGTCTTGCTGCTTTCCAGGCCTCTACGAGGGCTTCGAGGGGCTGCAGGCTGAGGAGTGCGGGATCCTCAATGGCTGCGAGAACGGGCGCTGT